ATGACTCAGAATATTGTAGTCATTTCTTCCAATTGTGAAAGACAACATAAGGGTGAATGTTTGATGGGCTCTAACACATGCCGTTAGCCTAGTCATATTGCTAAATATCATTCTTCAATTAGCCATAAAACCTCAGAAGAACATAAATAAAGTGGAGTTCTTTCATAGAAGATTGCAGGGGTAAAGAACGATAGTCTACGGCTTCAGTCCCTATTCAAGGTCAATCAAGACAGCCAGTTCGGCCATGAGTTTATGCCCCTACACAGAGAGCATGAAGGACGTGTTGCTGATGCAGATGCTAATATGGGTTAATTAGTTTATTTTCTATTTCAGATGATGTATATCAGACGACGGGGGAATTTAGTTGAATAATCTTGTATCAGACTTTTGTTTTATTATAGTCAATTTTTATCTTAGTGAATGAGATCTAGACTTAAAAAAAAAGAACAGATTTCTCAAGTGTTTCATGCAATGATTTGAGGTTTGGAGTATATTTAGAAATTTTGAGGATGAAATTTTTGTAAGGGGGAAATATTGTAATTCTCGACTTTTTTACCGTTAACCATTAAAACGGACGAGTCACATCAAATGGGAGAGGCAAGGGGCGTGAACATTTTACCTTTATAAGAAGAAACAAAACTTTGTTTTGATTCAGAACAATTTTGACATCATGGGAAGCAATTTCAAGGGGAAGAGAGAGCGAGAGGAGGGTGACGCCAACTTTAATCGTAAGCACGAGCATACCTTCGGGGTGAATGACACATTTGAAGACAACTACAGAGGTGCAAGTGGCTCGGCTTGAATGTTGAGTACTCGTCGGGAGGAGAAGAAAGAAGGCGTGTCGATCCGAGCCTCTGCGAGCGTTGCAAATGTCGAACAAGCCATTATGGCTCGATAAGGGCGGCATAGCTTGCGTGTGAAGCTGAATGAGGCAAGTGAGGGAGATTGAAGCAAGGGAAGGTGTAACTTGTGTGCAGGAACGGGCTCGAGGTTGAATCGGGCTGGAAGGAGCCATGTTGTAGTCAAACGAAAGAGGGACAAAGACGCTTTGCATGTACTGGCATGCAGGTGAACATTTTCATGTATCTTGTAGGTG